AATTGCTTTTGACTTTGTGTGGATTAGAGAAAAAAAAAAAAAAAACACAGATCAATTCACACCCCACCCCAAGTCAAGTAAAAATGTTTGCTATGTACACATTCCACCCTTTAAAATAAACAGTTCACTGGAGTCATCAAAATGAGTTTATGTGACTCAGAACATGGAGCAAGTCATCTACTCGGAAGATTGTTGGTTTGATCCCTGGCTGGTCCAATCTGCTTGCCAAATATCCTTGGGCAAGATGCAAACTTACTCTTTGATGCATCCACCAGAGTGTGAATGTTAGATTAAAAAAAACCCACTTAAGCATATAAAAACGTTTTGAGTGCTCACATAAAGTACAAAAGTACTATAGAAGGACCAGTCCACATGTACACTTTTGACCACAATTATATTTTGCTTTAAAACCTGTATATCTTTCAGGTTTTTAGATGCTTCCCATCTCATAGGCACTAATGCCATCAGAGATGTAGGCTGTGAACTGAGGAGTGATTTTTTTTTTTTTTCTTCTTCTGTGTGTTAAAAGCCGGTCAGCCTCTTCCCTCTTTAGTCTGGAGGATGCGGTGTGCATATTCTCCAAAAAGCATCCAGTATCGGTGTTTAGCCATGTCCCTTAAGCACATATTTCTTTACTTCTCAGAAGCTCTGCTAGTCTTTCATGTTACTAACCAGCTGCTAGTTGACCTAATTAATTGTAAAATTTTTCTCAAGCTATTTTTTTTAAGTATCAAGGGTCACTGAATTGGAGACCCGGCTTCACAACCTTGAAAAACAAATAGCTAGCCAGGGCTCTGAAGTCTGTTCAGCCGAAGGTAGTGTAGGCCCCGTTAGCTCTCCCCTGGCAGATTATTCCAAGCAGCCGGGAAAACGGGTTATCTGGGTGACATCACCCATTCATGTGTCTAATTGCTGTTCCCCACTCAATGACACACCCAATTGTCTTCCAGCGTCCAGAAAAGGCAACAGTGAAGGAAATTTAAAACTGCTGGCTAAGGGTAAATGTAAATTCCATAAAATTATACTTCATGTCGACAATAACACCCAGTTACATCAATCGGAGGTCACTAAAATTAATATTGAGTCCGTGTGTAACTTTGCAAAACAATGTCGAACTATTAATTTTTTGTGGTTCCCTCCCCAATTGGAATTACATGTTTAGCACGTTCGTCTTAAACTGACGGCTGCCTGAGAGGTGTCCAAAAAAGACGTAGGCTTTATAGATAATTGGATAACCTTTTAGGGGAAACCTAGTTTTGTTAGGAGAGAAGACATTCATCCCACTTTGGATGGAACAGCTCTCATTTCTAAAAATCTGGCCATATTTGAGCCAAACATTCCTTTAACATTAACTATTTCATAACTTCTTCACAAATAAAATTTTAACCATTAAAAAAAATTACTCATAACCATTTTACAGACGTACAACTGCTTTGATATTTATTTAGACTCTTTTTCTCCAATTGATATTTCAATTCAATCTTTAACTTCAGCAATTATTTCCTCCAAACCATAAAGGTGTCTTTTACACCTCATTCTTACAAGACTGCTCAAAATCAAAATCAATGTTTAAATCTTAAATATGATCAACATCAACCTATCTCTATTAATCGGCTATTTACCACAGGCCTTAACGCTGGCAGTGGTTAACCATTACTTAAAAAGCCATTACTTAACAAAGCTGTCTTGGCTCCAACCTTCTTTTTATCTCAGAAATTCTTGAAAGAGTAGTGGTAAAACAGGCAATTGATATTCTGCAGAGCAATGGCTAATTAGTAGAGTTTCAATCAAGTTGCAAAGCTCATCAAAGTATAGAAAGGTTTTGTGAAGGTTATCAATTATCTTTTATATCCTCTGACAGTGGACTTGTCTCTGTGCTTGTTCTGCTAGACCTCAGTGTTTGATACTGTTTACAACAGTATTTTATTACAGCAATTAGAGCATGCTATAGATATTAAAGGTGCTACACTGCAGTGCTTTGAATTGTATCTATCTAATAGACTCAAATTTGTTTATGTAAATGAAAAGTTCTCTTCACACACTCAGGTTAATTATGGAGTTCTACAGGGTTCTGTGCTAGGACCAATTCTGTTTCCCTTAGGCTGTATCATGATGCTTACTCTGGATGGCATTACAATGGCCTCCAGTAACACTGTCAGGAATCTTGGAGTCATTTTTGACCAGGATATGCTCCTCAATGCGCATATTCAGCAGATATGTAGGACTGCTTTCTTCCATTTGCGGAATATCTTTAAAATTAGAAACATCATATCATAGAGTGGTGCGGAAAGGCTTGTTCATTCATTTATTACTTCTAGGCTTGACTACTGTACTTCATTATTATTGGGATGTCCTAAAAAATCCCTGCCTTAAATTAATTGGCAATTAAATGCTGCAGCAAGAGTACTGACAGGGACTAGAAAGAGAGAGCATATCTCTCGTATATTGGCATCCCTTCATTGGCTCTCTGTTAAATCCAAAATCTGATTTAAAATCCTGTTCCTCACATACAGGGTCTTAAACAGTCAGGCCACATCTTATCTTAACAACCCTATAGTACCATATGGTACCTATTAGAGCACTTCACTCTCCGACTGCGGCCTTACTTGTTGTTCCTAGAGTATTTAAAAGTACAATGGGAGCCAGAGCCTTCAGTTTTCAGGCCCCTCTTCTATGGAACCAGCTTCCAGTTTGGATTCAGAAGACAGGCACCCTCTCTACTAATAAGATTAGGCTTAAAACTTTCTTTTTTTGCTAAATCATATAGTTAGGGGCTGGAACAGGTAACCCTGAGTCTTCCCTTAATTAGGCTGCTGGGGGATTTCCATAATCCACTGAGTGTTTCTTCTTCAGTCACCTTTTTCACTCACTATGTGTTTATAGCTTTTTGCATTTAATCATTAGTTATTATTAATATCTGGCTCTCTTCCACATCATGTCTTTTATCCTGTCTTCATCCGCTCGCCCCCAACTGGTTAGGGTTTAGGGTGGCTTCAGCAGATGGCAGCTCCTCCCTGAGCCTGCTTCTGCTGGAGGTTTCTTCCTGTTAAAAGTGGGTTTTTCCTTCCCACTGTCACCAAAGTGCTTGCTTATAGGGAGTCATTGTTGGGGATTTCTCTGTTTTCTTTGTATTATTGTAGGGTATTTAACTTAACTTAATATAAAGTGCCTTGAGGCAACTGTTGTTGTGATTTGGTGTTATATTAAAAAAAATGAATTTAACTGAACTGAAAACAATACTTCATACTTTCCAGTTCTGTTTCTGTATATGCCGTCCTGCACTATAGGTCATTTTGGTCTGACTTTTGTGTAAATTCCCACAAACAAGGAAATCCCCCCACAAGATAACACAGAATCATACTTACCCTTTCAGCATGTATCACCATGGCATCTTGTCCCACGGTTCATCCAGCTAAGAACTTTACAGCCCAATTTCAGTGACTCCTCTTCATACCTAGGAACTTTCAGAGAATCATTCTCACCATCCTTCGATCTGTCGTATCTATTCTTCGCAACTGTTTGCTTCACTCTATTCAGTTGTACAGCGAGTTCAGCCTCTCACTATAGCCTTGAAATTTCAAACTTCACGCCCAGAATATCACCCACAAGCAACAGTTCCCAGTCTACTCCTGCTCACTCCAAAACTATCCTTCAGGACTGAAGTGAGTCCCCCAAAACTCTTACTCACCTCAGTCCTCAGATCTGGATTCAGAAGTTAAGTCACTGTTCCCCCACAGTCAGGTGTTCCAAAAATAATTATACATCAAAAAATTCGATTGGACCATATCATGGGTACATTTGTATTTTTACCTTTGTGGAACTGTAAATGAGGCAATGTGGCAATGTCCACATTTTAGACTTTTTTGAATGCAGGATATATTTTTAAATCCAATTTAACAGGAGGCAAGTATAAGCAGAATCTAATAATAATGACAATAATGAGAATAACAATAATAATGATAATAATCATCAAAAAATCATATCAGTTGAATTATACTTATCTAATTAACATACTCAGAACAAAGTCAGCATTGCTTTTGCTCTTTCACAGTGAGAATGTTCGAGAGGATGATGAGCATGCCTTTGCCACTGACTAAGGCAAATCTAGGTTCAAACTTTCATCTATTAGCTCATCTCCCAATCATAATGTCATTCATGCAGTGCCTTATCACCATATCAGTGTCATATAAAATAAAGCCAGGCTTCACAAAGTGTACATATACAAGAAGCATAAACAGAAAATAATATCAAACATGTTAAAAATAGAGAATTGGAAAAATAGGAAAAAAATAGATTCAACCTTTTAAAAAGTACCAAAGGCTTACGCAAATAAATGTGTTTTAAGAAGAGTTTTAAACTCCCCACAAAAATAGGAAAGTCAAGTGTGTCTGTGTGTGTGTGCTTCTACGGTTAAGGGGACACCTTCTCAGATGATAAAACATAGGTATGATCCTTCATGTCTTGAATCTGAAGGTGTAGGCACAAGTTAAAATTTGCCTCCATGCACGTGAATGCTTACAATTTCTTTTCTCTTTGACTCTTGGCATGATACACGTGTGGTCAGTCTTTAGCCACATAAAACATGATGGAATAACAAACTCCATCTCAACCACTATATTCAAGATGGCAGGCCAACATGGCTGAAAGATAATTATACATTAAAATATACTGTATGTATGATTACGGTATTCTTTTTTTTCTATTAAACTAAAGAAAACTTTTGCTAGGTTTAAATATACTAAACTAATTTAAGGGGAAAAAACCCCCCAGCTGATTCTGAGGCAGCCAGTTAGGAATTGATTGATTTTTTACATGAAACTGTTGTGGTAACAATTTTGAGTATTTTAACACTGTATAATTTTTTTTTTAAATATCAAACATCCTTATTTGTAAATGAGCAGATACCTGTGAATTTCTGTGTAAGAACATGTAGCTCAGCCTGTTTGCACAAGTGATATCATGATTCATGAATTTGTCTGTTTCTACTCCACCATCACCAGGACTTAAGTACCTTCACTCTGCTGGAATTCTACATCGAGACATCAAACCTGGCAACCTCCTAGTCAACAGCAACTGTGTGCTCAAGGTGTGTGGGACAGGCAAGCATTAATCCTAACCCTATCTCTATGGCAAGGATTCTTTATGTGAGTTGTATGACAGGCATGTGACAGATAAAGAAATAAAAACTATGAATATTTATTGACAGTATAGATGATGATGTTTGTAGAGGAATGGAAAAAAAAATCCAAAAAACAGATCACAGTTGATGGTAAAAATAAAATGGTAAATGGCCTGTATTTGTATAGCGCTTTACTAGTCCCTAAGGACCCCAAAGTGCTTTACACATCCATTCATCCACCCATTCACACACACATTCACACACTGGTGATGGCAAGCTACATTGTAGCCACAGCCACCCTGGGGCAAACTGACAGAGGCGAGGCTGCCGAACACTGGCGCCACTGGGCCCTCTGACCACCACCAGTAGGCAACAGGTGAAGTGTCTTGCCCAAGGACACAATGACTGAGACTGTCCAAGCCAGGGCTCGAACCGGCAACCTTCCGATTACAAGGCGAATTCCCAACTCTTGAGCCACGATCGCCCAGTTGATGCCTAAAAGAACAGACCAGAGGGAAAAACAAAGTAGAACTTGGACCACACAGCTTTCCTGATGCAAGAACCACAGGATCTTCCAGCCCACTTACAGCAAGTATCTAGACTTTGGGAAGAAGCCAGAGTACCCGGAGAGAAGCAGACACCATAAAGATGATGAATTCGAACGCAGCACCTTCTTGCTGTGAGGCAGTAATGCTGCCTCCTCATATTCTATTCTTTTTCAGTTGTCTCTTCATAGACAACCTTGTCTACCTCAAATAAGGATAGTTTAATTCAAGCTCCAACAGATCTTCTTCAAAATGACCTATTATACAAAACCCTGGTTTTATCAAAGACCATGACCCAGTTGCCACAGAGATGCCACCTTAAGTTCCTGTTCCTGTTCACCACTAGGAGAACAGAAACTTAAGGTATCAAAATGACATGCAGTCCATTAAGTTGGACAGTTCTATCTGCTACCCAAACATTCTCTGTTTCATTTTTTCTCCTTTATCTTCACTCTTCCTGAAGTGACTTTTTAGGAATCCTAAAAGGTTGATTCTGTTCATCTGGATGTAGCGTTTTCAGTGGGAGAAACGTTTCGTCACTGACCTGTAGTCAGCTGAGACTTCTTAAGTCTCAGCTGACTACAGGTTTCCCCAATCTTATAAACAGTATATTTGCACAGTGATTGAAACTAGCCCACTAAATGAAAAATGGGCTGTGAAGTCAGTTCCTTGATCATTAATATCCAAGTTGTCATGACCATTGTTCAACAACCACTGATCAAAGCCCATATCAAAGACCACTGATCATTGAGCTCCATGGCTTTTAAACCTCAAAACACGCTGCGCTAAAAATTGGTCCACCCCAAGGATCGGGTCCCCTGACACAGAGTAATATAGAGTATGCTGTGAAGTGCCAGGAGGTTTGCCATGATGTATATCGGGGAAACCAAACAACCTCTGGCGAAGCGGATGGCACAACACAGAAGAAGTAACTCATCAGGTGAGGACTCGGCAGTCTATTTACACTTACAGGCCAGTGGACACTCTTTCAGTGATGAGGATGTACAGCGTTCCTCCCTGGACAGGTAGGAACGCTGGTTTGAGTGGGGAGTCAAGGATGCCATTTACATGAAAAAGGAAAGACCATCTTTGAATCAAGGAGGGAGCCTAAGGGTACATCTTTCACCATCTTACAATGCTGTAATTGCAGCCAATCCCCATCATGACAATTTGCAATTAATGATCAAGGAACTGACCTCACAGCCCATTGCTCATCAGTGGGCTAGTTTCAGTCATTGTGCAAAGGTACTGTCTATAAATTTGGGGAAACTGCAGTCAGCTGAGACTGAAGAAGTTACTTGTGACGAAACGTTCTCCCAAATGCTACGTCCAGATGAACAGAATCAACCTTTTGGGATTTACTTACCTGGTTGATTGAGCATGCATCAAAACACTTTTCAGGAATGCTAACTCACTGCAACTCATTGCAGTCTCCAGAGGTTGTTTAAAAAGTTTAAGATTAGGGCTTTGATTTGTGAGCAGTGAAAACCTTTCCAGCTCTTACTGCAAAAGGCAAAAGTTGCCAGCACCATCATTTCTTTTCTTCCTCATTAGCTCTTCTTTTCTCCATTTATACTTGCAGCAAGATGCCAGTTTCATTTTCCTCTGTCCGTCAAATGGCAGTGACTCTTTTTTCTCTGTAGTTCTTTTTTTAAACGTTTTTGGGTTCCCTTTTCTGGCACTGGGAAGTTTAGATTTTCTCTGTCCCACTTACTAATTTTGTTGGTTTACAGTTACTGGCACTGAGTTGCCAGATACACGTTTCTTTGCCAGAAGACATCTCTTCGAATAAGAGATGTGTTATTCCTGGCTTCAACCTAGTGTACTTTTTCCAAAATTTCCATGTTTCTATTTCATTTCTCACATCTATCGCTACCAGTGAATTAAAATGTGTATGGCAAAGGTCCTGTCCACCATCTTCACTCAGTCATTGTTAATTATTTAGAGTGGAACTTAGTTAGGGGTTTCTAACATGTTAGAGTTTATTCACTGTCAATTCAGTTTACAAAGATACAAGTTAATTGAGAGTATTTGAAGAAACTGCATGTGCTTTTCAGGGTAGAAAAAAGTATGATTTCAAACCTCAAAAGTAATCTTCTGTCATTGTTTATTTGGGACCAAATAAGAAAAGTTAACCATTAATATACACACATAGACTATGAAATTATATGTTTATGCATGAGAAACAAAACATCGGTGAAACTCTACTACAGTCATGGCCAAAAGTTTTGAGAATGACACAAATATTTGTTTTCACAAAGTTTGCTGCTTCAGTGTTTTTAGATCTTTGTGTCAGTTGTATCTGTGATGTACTTAAGTATAATTACAAACACTTCATAAGTTTCAAAGGCTTTTATTGACAATTACATCAAGTTCGTACAAAGAGTCAATATTTGCAGTGTTAGCTCTTCTTTTCCAGACCTCTGCAATTCACCTTTGTATGCTATCAATCAACTTCTGGGCCAAATCCTGACTGATGCCAACTCATTCTTTCATAATCAATGCTTGGAGTTTGTCAGAATAAGTGGGTTTTTGTTTGTCCACCCGACTCTTGAGGATTGACCACAATCTCTCAATTGGATTGAGGTCTGTGGAGTTTCCTGGCTATGGACCCAACATTTCAATATTTTGTTCTCCAAGCCACTTAGTTATCACTTTGGCCTTATGGCACTGTGCTCCATCAGGCTGGAAAAGGCATTGTTCTCCACCAAATTGTTCTTGGATGGTTGGAAGAAGTTGCTGTTGGAGGATGTTTTGGTACCATTCTTTATTTATGGCTGTGTTTTTTGGCAAAATTGTGAGTGAGCCCACTCCCTTGGATGAGAAGCAGCCCCACAGATGAATGTGTGCTTCACTGTTGGCATGAGACAAGACTTATGGTAGCACTCACCTTTTCTTCTGCGGACAATCCTTCTTCTTGATGCCCCAAACAATTGGAAAGAGGCTTTGTCAAAGAAAATGACTTTACCCCAGTCCTCAGCAGTCCACTTGCTGTATTTTTTGCAGAATATCAGTCTGTCCCTGATGGGTTTTTTTTTTTTGTTTTTTAGAGAAGTGGCTTCTTTACTGCACTTCTTGACACCAAGCCATCTTCCAAAGGTCTTCACCTCATTGTGCGTGCAGATGCACTCACACCTGCCTGCTGCCATTCCTGAGCAAGCTCTGCACTGGTGAGCTTGCTGATTTAAGTGCAATCTTAATAGCAACAACGTCCTTGCATGTGAGCCCTTTTTATGTAACATAATGATGGCTGCACGTTTCTTTGCAGGTAACCATGGTTAAGAGGAAGGACAATGATTTCAAGCATCACCCTCCTTTTAACACATCCAGTCAGCTGTTCTAACTCAACCAGCATGACATAATGATCATAATGATTTCCAGCCTTGTGCTCATCAACTTTCTTATTTGAGTTAACAAGAAGATTATTGAAATGATCTCAGTAGGTCCTTTTGTGGCAGCGATGCAATGCAGTTGAAATGGGTTTTGGGCAATTAAGTTCATTTTCGTGGCAAAGAAGGACTTTGCTTCATAAAAACTGAAGCAGCAAACTTTGTGAAAACCATTATTTGTGTTATTCTCAAATCTTTTGGCCATGACTGTACATGCTGGAGCACAGTGGGTGAGGGAGGCAGAGAGGAGACAAGAAATCTTGGCAAGATTGATGGGTTTCAGAAGAAAGATGAATAAAAAGAAATCGGAAGATAAAAAGAGCTGCAGTAATCTCTGAATGGCTGTCTTTCAGATCTGTGATTTTGGCCTGGCCCGAGTGGAGGAGTCGGATGAATCAAGACACATGACTCAGGAAGTGGTGACACAGTACTACCGAGCTCCAGAAATCCTCATGGGGAGCCGCCACTACTCCAACTCTATTGATATCTGGTCTGTAGGCTGCATCTTTGCTGAGTTGCTAGGGCGACGCATCCTCTTCCAAGCCCAAAGTCCTATTCAGCAGGTAGTTGCTACTTAATTTAAATAAGATGACAAAAGATAATCTGCAAGGCATGATAAATTTTTTGTCTGGAAAGATTTTGATACATAAAAGTAACAGTGTGTTCTTTTTTCCCTTTTTTTGTGTTAAAATGTTAAAAACAGAATCATTACCAGTCACCACCAGGATTAAATAAAAACCTCCTCCTTAAAAGAAAAACAGTCATGCAACAAACTGTTGTGTCTCAGTATACTGTGATGTGTGTGCTTTTGTGTAGCTGGATTTAATCACTGACCTGTTGGGGACACCTTCTATGGAGGCGATGAGGACGGCATGTGAGGGCGCTCGTGCACATATTCTCAGAGGACCTCACAAACAGGTCAAATAGCGCTTTTTTTTATCTGTTCTTTGTGAAAAGACAAAACAATACAGATGAAACTGAAAGATCAGGTTAATTAAATTTTATTTTTTTGTTGTAATTCCTCCTGTCATAGAAACAGCACTATGGACTTGACTGCAAAAGGGACAGGGTTTCTAGCCTGTAATCACAATTACAAGTTGGTCCATTTCATGTGTGCACAATAAACACACATACATATTCATACATATGTATGAATATGCAAAAATAGTGAACAAACTCACTATTTTTTGCAGTCTGAAATATTGAAAATTGCTGATCTAGTGAAACAGCACAAATTCTATACAAAGCAAAAAACAACGAACTGCCAGGTAATATTCAGAGTGTGTGTTTTTTTTTTTAAATAAGTTATAATTTAAGGGGTTTTTGTAACTTCAAAACAGGGAAGGTACGTACTACAAGAAAAAGCTTTTGTGTTTCTGTGTGAAACTGTGGAACACTTTGAATATGGAATTGAAGCGATGTCCAAACATAAAACAGTTCAAAAAGAGTTATAAAGATATGATTTTCTTCAACTACAAAGAAAGGCAAAATGTTAAAATTAAGTGAATGTCTCTATTTAGAAAATTTCAGGATGTGATATTGTAGTATATAGTATATATTATATCAGAAATCTGTTCACTATTTTCATTACAGATTATATCGGTAAGGAAGGTGACTAAATATTTACTGATAACTTATGGCAAAGGGATGGGATTAAATAAGTGTGTACTTCTTCCCGCTCCCTTTCGAAATGTAAATGAATCAGAATAGAAGCAATATTGAAATGTATTGACTTAATTTTGTATAGTATTTTTTTTCTCTCTTATTTTCTTTACTAAATGTACCTGTATATTGTTTACATGTTCGAAATAAATTAACAAACAAACATACAAATAATACCACCTAATATCCAAGTAATGCACTGATATTTATTTATTGGATACTACGGGCCCAAAAACAAGGGGTAATAATGTGGAAACACAGCTCTGTAATGAAGTGGTAATAGCAGGGTAACAAGGCCGAAACAAGAATGTAATAATGTGGTAATTAATAAGTTATTACTACTCAATTGCTTGTAGTAGTTTCTGTTTAATAAACAGGAAACAGAGCTGCAAAATGCAAAACTGCCTGTTTCTATTTAATAACATATTAATAACCTATTAAAGCTAACTTAAACAGTATGTGATTATTACCTGGAAACAACTATGGAGGTTTCTGTGTAATAAGCAGGAAATAGCTTCACGATGCAAACCTGCCTGTTTAATAGGCAAGGCAAGGCAAATTTATTTGTATAGCACAATTCAACAACAAGGTGATTCAAAGTGCTTTACAGAGACATTAGAAACAAAAACAAATAAAAAGCATGATTTAAAATTGATTAAAACAAGCAAACAAACAGACTAACTAAACACACACATTTTATACCTGTTCGCGCGATCTGAACCCCTTATCGTAAGGGGAGCTACTAGTCCTTCTGTGGACGAGCTACTAACATATTAATAACCATGTTAATAACCTTTTAAAACAAACTTAAACTAGTGACTACCAGTACATACCTGTGGCGGTTTCTGTGTTATGAGTAGGAATTTAATACCATGGTAATGATAACTAACAAGCATTAGGAAGTCTGGAATGAACTGGAACTGTACAAAATCCTACTAGTTATCTCGCTTGTCCAGTTGTGGTGAGGGCAACACCACCATCCTACACTGCCTTCATTATTGACTGATCTCTTACCATCTAAGGATCCAGCTTCTCCTGCAGCAAATTTCACAAATACAGACTGTCCTATCCCCCCCCAAAAAGAAAAAAAAGGGATAACATTGAAAGTGCAGACTCCCAGTAGGTAGCAATCTGCCTCATACTGGCATTCACTCTGTTTCCATGGCAGTAAAAATGAAAAACAAGAAAAAAAACTACACAGAATATTTTTATGCATTATGATGAAAATTTAGATGAAATTAAGTTAATTAGGGCAATAGTGAGTGTGGATCACTTTAAAGTGCCAGTTTAAGTTTGCTTTAATAGGTTATTAATATGTTTTTAAATAGAAACCGGCAGTTTTACATATGTGGTCCCAACACTCCTCCGTAATTGTCAGATTGCCTACTTTTTCCCACTTCACTTTAACAGAAGCAGTCCTGTCATTTTTATACCACGGGATGCTGTTTTTAATCTGGAAATAATTTTATTGTGCACTCCAGGTTTAGTTAATGATACAAATGTTTCTACAAGGTGGATGTAGCACTTACCATCCTGTTCTTTTTTTCTGAGGTAGCTCTGACATAGCCTGGACTTATGTTTTGGGTCATTATCTTGCTGTAGAATGAACTCTTGACCAACTAGGTGCATACCAGAGAGTATTGGATGGGGCTACAGAAGCAGTAGTGGTTTTTGATACGGGCGACACGGGCGGTTGCCCAGGGCAGTATCACGGCATCGGAAAAAAAAATAATTACTCGTACTCATGCTGCCCCGACATCATGCCAGTGCATATTGGGAATGGCGTAGGCACCGATCGGTTTTCTATCGCCCATTTGCTGGGAGTAAGGGCGCCCTCCGTTTGCGAGGTGCACCTGCTGCTTGCTGCACAGGGAGGAGAGGGCGGCGGGGGATTCTCGCGCCAGTGGTGCACATTGCTGGCGATGTGCACCGCTGGCGCGGCCATTTATTTTTTGATGCAACTTCTCAGATTAATTCACTGTGTGTAGAGCCCAGGGCTGGACTGGGACAAAAAACCAGCTGATACTAGAAATTAATATTAAATAAATTCTAACAACAGCTGATCAAGCTTAAACGTGCTGCTGTTGTTTAGCGCGACCTCCGGCGGTTTCCTCTTTCTGGCGCAAAGTGGGCGATAAACAAACAAGAGAGAAAAGCTGATCATTGATCAGTTTCATGATTGAAGTAGCAACAGGAGAGAGAGGGGAGAGAATGAGAGAAGAAGAGGCAGCTGTGCAGCAAAGACAAAATAACTCCACCTTTGTGTCTTTTTCATTCTAGCTGAAGTCCGGGACAAACTGTGTCCCCTCTCAGCTCAACACCAAACGCGTAATAATTTCTTTGAATGCGGGAGGATTCCGTCTTTTTACGGGACAGTTGGCAACTCTACTAACTAACCTTATGAATTAAATAAAGTTCATTATCAGTAACATAGCACACACCCAGCTGTATAGAAACTCATGCTAGCTAGTATGCAGTACGAGTTATTGTAACTGACTGTAAAAAGTCAGCACAACGAAAATAAACTAAACCTAAACTTGGTTTATATCTGACCCAGATAGACTGCATGTCTCTCCTCGGCGGCCGCCTCGGGTCTCTCCTCGTCCTGCCGCCGATCTCCCTCATCCACCTGCTGGCCTCCACCACTTGTTAATTTTACCGAATCTGTGGAAGCTCAGCGATGCCACCACCAAACAACTGAGTTATTTTCACACACCGGCCAGC